GAATCAGACAAGACTGAAGCGACTTAGCATGCTTGCATGCATGGCATAAACAGGGTTTCCCTGATGGCTCAGATGGTAAAGAATCTGCCTGCAATGCAGGAGACCCAGGTTTGATCCTGGGGTTGGGAAGATCCCCTGGAGAGGGGAATGGCAACCCACTCTAGTGTTCTTGCCTGGAGAATTCCATGGACAGAGGAGCCTGGTGGGCTACGGTCCGTGGGGTTACAAAGAGTCTGACAAGACTGACTGACTAACACTTTTGCTTTCATAACATAAACAACTTGTGGTTAATTGCAAAAGACTAACTAATACTTGGGCTTCCCTGATAGCTCAGTTGGTAAAGAATCCGCTTGCAATGCAGAAGACCCTGGTTGGATTCCTGAGTCGGGTAGATCCACAGGAGAAGGGATACACACTCCCGTATTCTTGGGCTTCACTTGTGGCTCAGCTGGTAAAGAGTCTGCCTGAAATGCAGGAGACCTGGGTTCGATCCCTGAGTTGGGAAGATTCCCTGGAGAAGGGAAAGACTACCCATTCCGGTATTCTGGTCTGGAGAATTCCATGGACTGTATAGTCACAAAGAGGCGGACATGACTGAGCGACTTTCACTTTCAGCTAATACTTAGATACATGATGGATATAAATTCAGTTACAAGTAAACATCTTAGGTTTAACCATTGTGGTGCATATTCAGTCAACACATGAAAATAAACTCTTATGTATAGTCTTCCTATTTTCTCCCTTCACACGGTGTTATAAAAGTGATGGGAGTAGACCTGCTTTCTCTCTGAGCATAAAGAGGTGTTGGCCTAGTGCTCCTGGAAAGCGTGAAGCTCCACCAGCTTGTGTGAAGCAAAATCCAGGAATCAACTCTGTGATTAATTGATTTTTGAACAGAACACATCTTCAGGTTGTTGGCTTTTGCAACCTATATGTTTAATAACAGCCGTGTCACTTGTCTCACTCATCATCTTTGTTCTGACCTTCTCTTGATTAGGATCCAGGAGCAGTAGATTTCCATCATCTCTTCCTCTGCTCACCAGACCCCATTCCAAAGGACTGAAGCACTTCAGAAATCCTGCGGGGACCAGTTTCTAGTGCAAACAAAAGCACACATATGCAAAGCAAAGCCAGCTCACACTTTTCAGCCTGCTGCTCTGAGCGCCTCCACCCCAGGCAAGTGCTGTGCCGCAGACCCCATCAAATATGTGCTCTCGTGGACAGATGGAAAACCCATTAGGAAGTACAGCCAACTCTGTGTTCCCACATTTCCGGGAGAGAAACCACATTCGGTGCAGGAGCCCTGCAAAATCACTAGGGTCAATGCCTTTAAATCAACTGAACGTCTCATCTCTTCCAAGATATTACACAAGCAAAGCCCATATGGTTAGCCAAAGGCTCTGCCCTACAGGAAAGTACATGGGCTAGGGCTAGACTAAAGACCCAAGCCCACTATGTATTTTTTTTCTATAGCTCTAACTAATTTTTCTTATCTGGGAAATTGTTATACAAATGACTTGCTTTTTAAAAATAGTAACAAATGGATATTACAAAGCAACTTATAAGAACAATTATAGGTGAATAAGGTGGCAGGGGCAAGTACAATTATAAGGCTTAAGCTGTCTTGAGGGCTTCCCCGATAACTCAGTAGGTAAAGAATCCGCCTGCAATGCAGGAGACCCCAGTTCGATTCCTGGGGCGGGAAGATCCGCTAGAAAAGGAGTAGGCTACCCACTCCAGTATTCTTGTCTTTCCCCTGTGGCTCAGCTGGTAAAGAATCCACCTGCAGTGTGGGAGACCTAGGTTCCATCCCTGGGTTGGAAGATCCGCTGGACAAGGGAAAGGCTACCCGCTCCAGTATTCTGGCCAGGAGAATTCAATGGACTATACAGTCCACAGGGTCACAAAAAGTCAGATATGACTGAGCAACCCTCACTTTCTTTTCAGGCCATTTTATGAGGGATTATTAGTTTGCCACACATTTTGAAAGTTAACTCAGCATGTCTTATTTTGGGGTGATGTGAGCCAGAAAAAAAGTGCCTAACTGTCTCTTGACTTTTTTCCTGGGATCACAGCTGGCAGGGTCAAGAGCTTCCTCATGAAGGAGAGAAGTGCTTTCTACTCCATCTCCCACCTGAGTCCACACGGCCCCTCCCTCAGCCTGCCTGGTGGACCACCGTCCACACACAGCAGGAGGAGAGATGACCAGAAAGCATCCGGAGAAGTCGTTGCCGCCACGGCGTGGTTTGCTTTCGTTCTGCGTTTTAGGATTATTTTGGCCATTATTTCCCCACTGAGGCTTAGTAACCTATTTAGTTTTCCACAAATTAAGATCCCTTAGCTCTTCTTAAATTCACCCTGAGGGGGAACTTAAGGTAATTTCTAATGTACATATTTCACACAAAATTTGCTTCCCAATTGTCCACATGGGGATGTGTGCAAGCCGGACGCTCACCAGTGGCTTTGGCGAGTCCATCAGCTCTTCAGACAAAGCCCACATGTGCTTCCCTCCGTGGGTCCCAAAGGGGCTCAGATTTCAGGGCCCGACCACCATTGAATCAGCTCTGACCTTTCTCCCCATAATTATTTTTGTGAAATTTTCAGACTCAAGTGTCTGCCTGTGGGCAAAGTGCCAGTTATTTTAGGAGTCCGAATAGCAGTAGAAACATATACGTACGTCTCGACATGGAGAGAAGTGATGCTGACGACTGTAAATGTATGAGGAGTAAATCCACAGATTGAAGCATACGCTGATTTCCAAAGCCACACCACACCTCTTAGGAGTTACTCGAAGGAATTCAGCAGTCGCCTACCTGCATAACTCACGCCCCTGAGGACGTCTTCTTGCTGGGTGGATGGCCCTGCTGTTGGGAAGGTCCCGCCCCAGCATCACACGTGGAGAGTGAAGACCTCACCTGAGCAGTGGTGGGGTCTCACTGGCCATCTTCTCTCGGAGGCTGCCGCTGGGAAGGTCACTCTGGCAGTTGGATGTCAGGCTTTTTACCCAATAATGAAGTAGCTTTGATCCAGAAGTGATTCAATCCCCCTATTCCTTCCAGATACAGGTAGGCCCAGTAACCCCCACAGGGGCTAATTAATTAATAGCCCCTTCTTCTCTTGCATAACTGCTGAGGAATTTTGTTTCCCACTGCCTCAGTTCATTTATTCTTCACAGTATGTACTGTGGAATGCACTTCATCACTTGTATTTTTCTTCTCCTGTTTTAATATTGATGGTGATCTCAGTGTCTTGGGGGAAAAACTATTAAATTCAATGCTTCTGTTTTTGCCATCATCAAACAGGGGTAAACTGCTCTACTTATAATACAGTGATGCTGCAGTCCTGTAGGCATAGGTGCTGGTCCCTCTTATCTCCTAACCACTCCCTTAACCTCAGACTTTGCTAGCCCAGAGCAGGTTTGCTTATCCTTCCCTGGACACTGCACTTGCTCTCCCACCAGAGTTGATCCTTTCTTTCTACATGTGTGCCCCTATCTCTGCCTCTGCTTGGCTCTACTCTTTCTTCAAAGTCCCTCTTCACCTGAGGCCTTCTTGACCACCCCCCACAACTTCCTATGACACACAGGACCACACTACACATTGGACACCTACTCCCATGCTGTCTTGGGTTATTTGCAACTGTGTATCAAGTTGTAACACATTAAAGGTTTAATATTCAACTATTTTTGACTTACAACACAGCAGTTAAATATGGTTCCATCTAATATATGCATTTTCTCACCCCAAATGCAAATTCTCTTTGCATTTCTAAGGTCTTCAATAAATCCTTATACAGTGTAGGCATTTGCTATTAAAAAGAAATAGACTTGACTATTCTTAAATTGGCAAAATAGAGAATAAGCTTCTATTTTAATTGGAAAATGTATCTTAGCCCATTAATACACTCACCAGGGGTGATCTGGGATGATTCCACCTTGCAAAAATGTCTCACTATTGCCTAAAATGTAAAAATGAAACTTCATGACTCTAGGAGTTATGGTTAGAGACACTTTATAAATATAATAGGCTTTAATAGATTCTACACTTCAAAAAAATCATTCACAGAATTCTTTCACCAATAAATTCTACACTCACTAGAATATATTCATATTTATTATATAACTGGTTACACAACACAGTTAGAAAATAACATTAGAATATCACACTTTATCTGATTACATTGATTCCTCTGTCCCTCTCCCTTATTGCAATATTAATTCTGTGTATAATTCTATTAGTTATCATGATGAACTGAAACTGGACAAGGAAAAGTCTAGTGAAAAAGTATACATAGTTTTAAAGCTAAGATATTTGATATTGAGTGAAGGGTCCCCTTAGTTTCCAAAATAAAAATATCCAAAATAGCGTCATGACTGTTGAACTGAACTCAGTATACTAAAGACAGAATGCAACTACAACTGTGGAGAAACAGAGAACGGGGGAGCCTATTACTTTGAGTACATCCTTATTGGTAGGCTCAGAGTTATATAAGAAAACAAATTGGTGTTTCATCACCTTCTTGTTCTGATGCTGTGGACGGATCAGTGAAGTGCAGATTTCTTTTTCAATGATTCCATTTCTTAGAGCCACAGCTGATGAGTCATGTCTTCAGATCTTAACCCCAAGTGCATTTGTAGTGTTTTAGATTAGGTCTTTCATTCATGCAATATCAGAACATATAAAAGGCTTCATGAAACCAGGTCAATATATATTTTAGGGGAAGAAAAAAGCACGGGGTTTGTACTAATTGTTTCAGATTCACCATTTGTCATTTATAAGTCATTAAAAACAAACTGTATAACTTTGGTTTGCATTTTCTTTTAATCTTGAGATAAAGAGAGTTCTGAAGTAGTCTTGATGAATTGAATATGGTCCATCCAGGAAAAAAAATGGGAAGGCTCACATTTCTTCCATTGGTGGTAGGAAGCCCACTTTCAACTTCCAAGCCCTTTCATGGTCAAGATCACCTTTAAGACCATTTTAAAAAGTTAGACTTTGTCTTCAAAGATCTTCCTTTATGGTCCCAAAACCACAGTCAACTTCAGCTATCTTAATCTTGCTTTTTCTTGGCAGAAAACTAGAATAGTCTTTCTGTTACAAAGTAAACAGAGAGGTCAGAAATATATATGAGATGAAATAATTTCCATAACAACAATAATAGTTAAAAAGCCAAAGATTAAAATAATATTTTTAAAAAGCAACAGAAAGGTAATATCTATTAAGCAATGATTATTTCAAATGGTTTTACCCTGGACTTCCCTGGTGGTAGAGTGGAGAGGAATCCATTTGCCAATTCTGCGGATACGGTTCGACCCCTGGTCCAGGAAGATTCCACCGTGTCGCAGAGCATCTAAGCCCTTGCACAACTGCCGAGCCTTTGTTCTCGAGCTGGCGCCCAGCGGAAACTACTGAAGCCCACGCGCCTAGAGCCTGTGCTCCGCCACAAGAGAAGCCCCCACCCTGAGAAGCCCCGGCACCGCAACGAAGAGTAGCCCCCCTCAGCACAGCCAGAGAAAGCCCCCGCGCATCAATGAAGACACAGCGCAACCAAGTAAATAAATAATTTTTAAAAATAGTTTTACCCTGTAGCAGCTGTGTTTCAGGGGTAGGTATACATTTGTTACTGCTGAGGGTGCCCCCTACTGGTATGAAGAGGCATGTCTAGAGCACCTTTGCAGGCGCTGGGGTGTCTCCAGGTAACACCTGAACCCTGCCTCTCTTGTCTTTTCCTCATCTCTTAAAAGACATACGACTTTCTGTTTTTACCTTCACCAAAATCTTTAGTGCACATCCCTCACAAAGTTTTTTTAAAAAGTATTATAGACATTTTAACATACTTTAAGAAGTTACAGTTGCTGCAGACCTTCAGTGAGTGAATAGTCAACTTTCAGTGTTTATAAAACCTCTAAGACAGAGTCACAGACTGGGTTTTGGCCCTGGTGACATAAATGCGTGGCAGCTCACCAGACAGAGCAGCTAAAAAAAATTTTTTCCCCCTATGAGGAATTTGTCTTGATAGAGGCCTCATGGCAGAGTAATTAAAGGAACAACAGCAACAAAATTTTATTTGTTAACAAACAAGGAGTGTTTGGGAATGGACACTAACTCCATCATTTACCAGCTGGGTGACCTTGGGCAAGTTACTTAACCTTTCTTCTGTTTTCAGTTCCCTTGGCTACAAACCAAGGATAATAATATAATCTGGGTTGCTGTGAGTTCTATGTGGAAAGCAATTATAACAGTGCCTAGCTCAGGATAAGCTCTCTACAACAGTTGGCTAAAGTAAGTTGGAATTCAATATAGTTGGGCACCAGGCTCCCTTCCAACATGCTGGCCCTGTTCAGAGCGTGACAGAGGTTCACCTGCTTCAGCATTGCTGTTTATCTGTGCTGACTGGCATCTCTGTCATTCTAGGACAGTGGCTCTTGAACTCAAACATGCATCAGACTCATTTGGAGGGCTTACCCAATAAGATTGCTGGGCCCCAGCCCCAGAGCTTCTGGTCCAATACGGTTGGGGCCTGAGAATTTGAATTTCTAGTAAGTTCCCAAGGGATGCTGACCCTGATGGTCTAGGGACCCCACTCTGAGAACCACTCTTTTAGAGTAATGGTTTCAATCCTGGCTGTACTTTAGATCACCTGGGCAGCTAGAAAATCCCACTGCCAGGCCCCTCAGAAAAATTTATTAATAAATCAGAGTCTTTGAGAGTAGGGCTCAGCCATCATGTTTTTTGAGCTCTTCAGGTGATACCAGTATACAGCCAAGTTTGAGAACCACAGCTCTATGCCATACTATGCTGCTGACATGGATGAATTTAAGTGATGAAGTTATCTTAAAGATAAAGACATTGAAGTCTGGTGCAGTGTTTCCCATTGGCATTCTTGCTATAAATGCTGAACTACTGGATCCATCTTTTGGGGTGGGAATTTGCATTTTAATAAGCACCCCAAGCATCCCTTTTACACATTCAGTTTTTTTGATCTCCCTGAAGACACATAGCCAGTAACTGGTGGAGTTCTCACTGCCTGTCTCTGATGTAAGCCACCAGAAGTGCTGTTATTATGTAAGAGGGACAGGTCTGCTCTTAGTCTGTGTTTAAAATTTTTCTCTGAGCTTATCTACTCAAGGAAGGACCTTGTATATTTATAAATGCTGTACTTATATACTAACTACCTTTATATACATAGCAGGCTCTGTGACAGGAGCTGAACCAATAATGAATCCCATTCAATGCTACTTAGAGGCATTCACCCCCACTAAGATCTGAACCTCTAAAGGAAAAGTTAGTTAAGGACACAGCTGTGGAATCAGACTGCTTGCTTCCTTCTACCACTGATAACTGTGCAACCTGCAGCAAGTCACCTAACCTCTCTGTGTCCCAGTTTCCCCAGCTGATTTGAGGAATGGTGATACAGTACCAATGATACAGGATCATGGTGAGGAGAACTGTGTTAATCCACAGAGAAGTACTTTGAATGGGGTCTGGCCATGAGTGTTTATTAATGCTTTCTATTATGATATTTACTGCTACTGTTATCTGCACAGCAGACCTAAATGCTTGAAGAAGCAGTTTATCAACTTAAAGGCTGTTTTATACAGAATACACTGCAGAAAGTCTATGAAACTAAAACATACAAACTAGAAAGAACATTTGAAAAAAAAAACTGCATGGAGTGGAGAAGAAAATCACTCGAGTTTTGTGTTCTTCTTGGAACTTTTGTATATATAAATTCAGGAAAGCATTTCTCCTAGCCCAACTGGGTTCTACAGTAAAAACACTATGTTTCTGTGATGGTCATCCAATTGGACCAGTATGCATGGAGGAGCTTCTGAGAAAGAGAATTCTGGCTTAATCTTAAAAGTAGAATGACTTTGGTTACTTAAAAGGGGGAAAACAGGCAGATTTATCAAAATTATAATATACCCATTACATAATTTTACTCACAGACCTGGTTTTGTTGAATGTGGCATTTTTTACTTTTGCCTTGTTCTGGAACTTCAATCTGCTAAATAGATTAGTGAAATGTCAGTCAGCACAGCCAGAGAAGCGAGCACACAAATAATCTATTTAACCAGCACATTTCTCCTTCCACAATAATCCTCTTAATGGTCCCGAAGGCTGCCAGTCAGCAGGACACCTGCTCGTCATCTGCACAGTCCCCCTTCGTTTGCGAGTATCTCAGCGTTTCAGAAATTGAGTCCCCGAAAGTGAAGTGAAGCTTAATGTTTAATGTTGGTGGCTGCCTATGGATTCTGTGATTTAACACAGCTTTTAAAAGGACTTCACACAAAATGAACTCCTAAATCCAGAAATAATCCACAGAGCTCCAATCCATATGCTGAACCAAAGCCAAATGGGGCTCTGATTAATCAAAAGGCATCATTAATCAAGAGAAGAATCAAACTGAAGTTTAAGGCACTTCAACATACCTCATGCACATAAGGTAAACCTAATATAACAGTCAGGGGCCCAGCAGAAAGCAGATGGCTTACTCCCGGGGTAACTGAGGGAGTTTTCTACAATGAACTGCTTAATGGAGGTGTGGGAAGGATTGAAGTGCACCAGTGAAAGGGTGTAGTGAGTGAAGAGGAGCTGGGGTGGGTGTCGGTTCTCACCACTTCTGGGTGTGAAGGGGTGAGGGGAGCAGCTGGTATTGGAACCGAAGTGTCCGATACAGCAGGTAGGAGAAGTTGCTTCAGGAGCTGTGGCCCTGAGCCAAGGACTGGGCCAACCGCACAGACCCGGCAGGGACAGAGTTGGAGAAATAAATACCCTGGTCTCCATTTCCTCCCACCTCACTGGGTTTCCCAGGGGTGACCCTGGTTGGAAGCTGGAGGTCAGAGGTTATAGCACACCAAGGTCAGTCTCCTAGCCAGGGTTTAGGGTAAAGGACTCTTAGACTTTTCTTATATTGGGTTGGCCAAAAAGGTCATTCAGGTTTTTCCAAGCATACTGAAAAACCTGTAAGAACTTTTTTAGCCAGTCCAACAGAAAAAGAAAAGAACTACTATTAAAGAACTATGCATTCAGTGCATATCTCAGCTTATCACTCTATCATCCTAAATGTCTCTTTCCTAACTGCTTTTCTTTTCCAACGAATAAACTCCTTGACTCTGGATTCTCAGCTTCTAGCCACTATTTACCATATATGGTAAGTCACCTCAGTCGTGTCCGACTCTGTGCGACCCCATAGACGGCAGCCCACCAGGCTCCCCCGTCCCTGGGATTCTCCAGGCAAGAACACTGGAGTGGGTTGCCATTTCCTTCTCCAATGCATGAAAGTGAAAAGTGAAAGTGACGTCGCTCAGTTGTGTCCGACTCTTAGCGACCCCATGAACTGCAGTCTACCAGGCTCCTCCATCCATGGAATTTTCCAGGCAAGAGTACTGGAGTGGGGTGCCATTGCCTTCTCCATATATGGTAAATATAGGCATCAGTAAATGATAGAATGAGGGGGTGAATTAACTAAGTTGCTTATTATTCATGAGGTCATGTCCCCCTGTATAGAGTAGGACATTACAAAATACATGGGATAAATAACATGGTACTGCAAAAGAGGATTATTTTTAAACTATGATTAACTTAATTTTTCTGTAAAATATATTGCTTTGAAGGATACATAGGACTTCCTTTAGGTTAGTATTCTCAATAGAGATGTTCATATATTTGCAGCCTATCTCAATAGTTTTAAAAAATCATTATTAGGTCTTGATAAATGAGAAAATAATGTTCTGATGCCTTGTGTCTTGTTATTTTATCATTTTACAGCATTACATGATAGCAAGTAGTCTTGTGCAATGAAATACAGAAGTTGGGGGAAACTTCTTGGAATTTTTCTCTCTCCTAGTCTCCTTCCCTTCCTTCTCCCTATGTAAAAATAAAACACACTAGAATTGTTCAGCAATTTCTGATATAGTTTGTTTCCTTGACTTATTTCAGTAAGCTTTTTATATTTTATATACCAGGGTGATAAAGTTGGGGGGGGGGCGGAGTTAATCCTTTTTTCATAATGCAGGATTCCTGCACTCTCTCTCTCAACAGAGAGTTTCTGCTGATAGCATAATCCTTCATTCCTTCCCCTCTGGCTCTCTGAAACTGTCCTCCCGCTATGCTCGGACCATTCTTGTGATGGCTATAATGTCAGTACCTTTTCTGTTTTCTGAACTGGACAAGCTATGCAGAGGCTGCTGATCCCGGGACATCAGACGGCACTGCCCTTGGTGTTTTCCCTTCTCATCACATAACAGAAAGACACTTCAAAGCACCCAGTGGCCTTTTACACTGTCTGATCTCGCCCCAAATGAAAGAGGAGTGGAGAGAGAAATATATATAGTTATGGTAACTGGGGAGGGGATAGGAGGTATGAGGCAAGTTGGAATCAGAAGTCCACCTTGTTCTTTGCCATTTTTCAGAAAACCAATGTAGAGATTCAGACCCACTGTTAAGTAAACCTAAGGAAAAATTATACAAAATAATAAAAGCAAACTAGGTATAGACTATTTTAAAAATAGTTTTCCAATTCAGAAAATATTTACTAGCATATTTCTGATAACTCTCATGTATTCAGATTATGGTTCAATATATAAATAATGATAATTATAATGATGATAATACACTTTCAGAAGCTCCTTAGGAATGAAAGTGAAAGTCATTCAGTCCTGTCCAACTCTTTGCGATCCCATGGACTATACAGTCCATGAAATTCTTCAGGCCAGAATACTGGAGTGGGTAGTCTTTCCCTTCTCCATGGGATATTCCTAATCCAGGAATCAAACCAGGGTCTCCTGCATCACAGGCAATTCTTTACCAACTGAGCTATCAGGGACGCCCTTATATCCTGTATGCAGGGAATACACATACTACATAAAATCCACCTGCTTTCTTTTCTTGGTGTCTTTTAGATTTCTTTACATAGCAGAGATTGCTGTTAGCCTACTCCATTATTCATTCTGTTCTTTCTTAGTAGTAACACCCACATTTATTTGGAAAGACAACATACTCTGCAAAAAGACTACATTTGCCAGACTTCCTTACAGCTGGGTGGGGACCTGCGATGTGACTAACTCTTGGAAAATGAGCTATAAGCAGAAATTCTCTGTGGGACTTCTAAGACTCCTCATTAAAGAAAAAAGGTGAGTGCATCTGCATACTTTCCTTTTACTTGTTGTCTAGAATGTGCATGAAATGGCTGGATCTCCTGCAGTCATCTTGGGCATGAGGTAAAAGCCACACAGTGAAGCTGGCAGAGCAGAAAGATCTCTGGTGACACCATGAAATCACTATCACAGCCCCATTCTGCCTGCTTCTGGGCTTTTAGATGCGATAGAAACAACTTTTATCTCGTCCAAAACACTTATTTTGTCTTGTTTTGTCTTTTGTTATTGAGTCAAAACTACTCCTAACTAATATATTTTATTTTCAAATAAAATAATCCTTTAATTTTTGTTCCAGTTAAAAGTAGAAAATATTTTAAAAAATCAATTTAGGTTTTTGTATAAGAGCACAGCTCTAAGAATAATGTTACTCATTTTTCTCCTTTCTGGTTTTTCAATTAACACTGTCTTAAGAATTTAACACTTTTTTTTGCTGCATGTCTACATTTTTCTTTCGTACATTCATTTGACTTCAGATCTTAATCATCTCTTCATAAGTGGTTCAAGCCTTAACTTTTTAAACCATTGCCTAAAGCTAACTAAGCTAATTAACTCTAAGTGAGCACTAAATTTCTTCTTTCACTTCTTCCTTCTTACCAGGATAAAACAGTACTATTTAATCTCTCAAGGGACCATCTGCTTTATTTATGGGGTTCAGTTAGTTACAGTTTTCTCAGTTTTTCTTTCCCTCCCCAGATTCTTCACAATTATAAAATCTTAGAATTTATTCTGCCTTGTAAATTAGAGACCTCTGCATTTTGGTCTATGAGACTTCTATAAGTGATAGGTGTCAATTCAGGCTTTATATGTTTTGCCTAGAAAATAAGTAAATGTCACAGTGTAACATTTATATGGTTACTTTAAGCTCCATAAAATGACTTGTTCTTATCAACTGTGCTTTGCAAGGAGATCCAGTCAAAGTTCAAAGAGATGATCTGTCTTTTCTATCTCCTTCCCAGGGTCCCATTCTACCCAGGGGTTTGTATTAATAGATGAAATTCCAGACTAAAATGTGGACTCTTCCTACAACATTCTCTTGAAATGTGAACTATTCCAACAGCATCCAATTTTCAGAGGAAAAATCTTAACTCCTTTCTAAGAACCAACATAAGGAAAGAAGTAAAGAGTTTGTGAAAATAAAACTTGATGAGTATTTGGATAAGGCAATACAAGTTTTATTGACTACCATGCTGATTTTGCTATCAGTCACCAGGATAAATTATAGATTTTAATTTGCATGCAAATCTATGGAATATGATGGTGTGGTTGTTTTTCTTGAAAAATTTAAATAGATTACTACCTCCTCCTATTGTAGAGAAAACTGTTTTAGATAGTCATTGTACAAGTATTTCCTGCATCAAGTAGCTTACACTTTATCGAACCACATTTGAGAGCACTTCTCCCCTTTAATGGGGCTTTATTAATTGCTTTTGTCTCTCTCTGTCTCTCTCTCTATACACATACATATATAAAATGATATATGATATATTTAAGTTTATACATATTTATCATATACATATATTTAAATTGAGGCCTAAGGGGGTCCATCCTCCATAGGAGGTTAGATTTTATTATGCTTTAAAAAAAAAAGCACCCTTGATTGTTTTATTGGTATGATGTGCTATTCTCTAGTACATTTTGAAGTGTTCCAACACCAAGGGGTAGTGAATTTTATCCTCCCTGGGAAAATATTTTGAGTTCTAGAAGAAAGAAAAGTAAGCGTAAAATGCAACATTTTTCTGAGGAAAAAAGCTGCAAAGTCAAGTAAAGATCAGTGTTAATCTAAAGGTATTATCTGCCTTCTTATAATACACCAAAATTAAAAACATTAGGAAAAGTTTTAAAATATTTTCTGTTGTATTTTTAAAGCCCAGTGTTATTTTTTTTATAAATTTTGTTTATAAATGTCATTTTTATAAATGTTTATAAATGTCATTTTTAAAAATCAAACTGTACTGTCTTACTTGGGACAATCTTGTATCCTGGTGGTGACAAGGCAAGTAGAAAGTTTAGAATCTCAGGAACTCTCTTTGCAGCCCCAGCATGGACACTTTCAATGAATAACTAGGCCTTTATTGAAGATTTGGAGACAAGAAAAATAAATTTTACACTGAGAAAAACTTATAGCCTCGAGAGCTTCTTTTATTCGATGGCTTCTCCAAACTGCTAAAGGCTTTTTATTTTGGTACAGTGGAAGTATCAAGAAGCTGTGAGTTCTATCTAGAGACAAAATTTCAGAGCTTATTTAAGCTCATACCTGCCATGCTGATTCTGTCTATGTTGTTGCTTTTATGGTAAATCTGTAATCTTCCATTTGGGAAAAGGCAGAAATACAAGGATACAGAGTAGAGTGTTAGCAAGTTCTCAGCAATCCAAGGACAACTGGCTTCTCCCTGGGAAATTGGCTTGGATTCTGAAGACTGAGCTCCCAGAGAGCTGAGAAGCTCACTTCTGGGCAGTTGGGTTTGTCCCTGGATTTGAAAGACCCTGATGCTGGGAAAGATTGAAGGTGGGAGGAGAAGGGGACGACAGAGGATGAGATGGTTGGATGGCATCACCAACTCGATGGACGTGAGATTAAGCAAGCTCTGGGAGTTGGTGAAGGACTGGGAAGCCTGGCGTGCTGCAATTCATGGGGTCGCAAAGAGTCAGACACGACTGAGCAACTGAACTGAACTGAACTGGAAGGCCAGACTCGCTGCTGGCCCAGGGAAATTCATCAGTGGAATTTAGTGTCAGCTGATGGTGGAAACAAACACAGACACAGATAAAAGCACTCACCATTTCTGGGTTCTCTGCAGCTTGCTTTACTGTCTTTTCTGAGATCATCTTTTTCAAGCAGGTACTCAGCAAAAAAGCCTAAGAAACCCAGAAATAAAGAACTCTCTCAGTTAAAGACTTCATTCTCTTCCTTCCCTCTTCATACTGAGAAGCAGGTTTTGTGCCCTGTCCTCCAAAAGTATGCTTTTAAGAATTTAGAGTTCTTTCACTTTCATTAATTTCATAAGCTGTAACCAGCAAGTAACCATAAATTTTCTCAATTACAGGGAGATACTTGCAGTAAATTTTTTAAAAGATAGATTAAAAATGACTAGGATCTCATTACTAATCTTTTTCAAAACTGTTCCCTTACATCCCCCTTCTTTTTCTATTACTTTGTGAACAGCTCATGTCTTACGAGCAAAGAATAATAAAAACCACTTCTAATCACAATCAAATCAAATGATGATGGTCAATCTTCTATTTAACTGTATACATAATGATTCAGAGATCTATTAGTAGGCATACATATTAATCTGTTTGAAAGGATATATTAGCACTTTATGGCTCTTACTGAACTGAAGACAAAATCAGTCGTTTTTCTTCCTTTTTTAATTTTCCTGGTATTTTTAGTCATTCTGTTAAGATTGACCATTGCCCCTAACACCACCTGTGGCTTATCATTGGCTCATCACTGCTAGTGGCAAGACACACGTCATACACATCTTGGTGCACAACAGCTGGGGTTTTCCTTTCTCTAAGAACTTTATCCCATGTGCCAAACTTAAGTTTCCCCTGTGATTTCCTTTTGCTCCTTTCCCACAGATGTTTTCCCCCCTCTTTTTTCTTCTCTCAACTCTTGGACTGTTCATTTCTCATTCAGCCCCACTGAGGTTTCAGACAACACGAGCTCAAAGCTTGAGGCTAGAGAACTTTAGCATAAACTTGTGCTCAAGGATGGTCCCTGAACTTGGCGTGAGGGGTTGACAGAGAGGAGGAGAGGGGAGAGGGAGGGAAAGCTCAGGTTACAGCGGCAGCTGATGTAGAGAGCTTTTGGAGGATGGGATACAGAAAGCAGAGCTAGAGGGCGAAGGGGCTACATAGAGGGGGCGTTTCAAAGTTTTACAGAGCTGGGTTGCATTTTAAGCAGAGAGAAAAGAGGGGAAAGAAAGGGCTGCCACCAATAAGGAAAAGAGTCACGGATGTGTGATTTATGCACAGAAACAAAGCTTCCTTCCTGCTTTAGCGAAGAACAAGCCCTGTTTATCTGTGCATATATGTCACCTATGCAACATCAGGGGACGAAATAGGTAAATGACAGCAAACCCTGAGCCAATGCAGCTAGGAGGGGTGTTTAATGGTGCCCACAAGGTGCAGACTGATTCCATACGCCTATACAACGTACTGAAGCCCATGTGCCTAGAGTCTGTGCTCGGCAACAAGAGAAGCTGCCGCAGTGAGAAGCCAGAGCACTGCTCCCTGCAACAAGAGAAAGCCCACGTGCAGCAACAGAGACCCACCACAGCCAAAAAATAAAACATGAGTAAATCAGTAAGTCTTACTGTATGTATATAAAGGGACTAAGCTTCCATTCAGAGGGTCCAGGAAAAAGTCAGGCCAAGCCTGCTTTTTGTATTTGCAAGGCACACAAACCACATTTCTGCCTTTTGCAGAAGTAGCCCTTGGGTGCACATCGATAAATCCACACTCCAAAGAAAGTAAGACCTCACTAGGACTCTTTTCAAAGGGTGTTTATTGCACCTCTCCTTAGTGGCTTAAACTCATTTGTACAGACTAGATTAAAAGACCATAATAAAATTTAACTACCGCACTTAGCATTCGGAGGGAAGGGGGTGGTTTAGCTGCCAAAATCTCTCTGTGTGTTTCCATGTGACTGCAGATCTTGCCTCAGCAAACCATCCTATCACTTCCCTATGGATGTTTTATATTTAAGGTGAACCTGGGGGACCATTTCGTCAACCTGGGATTTTGATTTAGTACTTTGTTTTTCAGAGGACATGGATATCTATTATGTCTTGATCAGAACTGTACTAGTGGAGAGTTAAAACTGAGCTTTGGTTGCCTAAAACTGGAATGCTGCATGGAACACAGAACTGAATGTGATCACCAGGCGCAGTGGTAAAGAATTCGCCTGCCACTGCAGGAGACGTGGGTTCGATCCCTGGGTCAGGAAGATCCCCTGGAGGAGGGCATGGCAACCTGCTCCAGTATTTTTGCCTGGAAAATCCCATGGACAGAGGAGTCTGAGCAAGTGAGCCTGAGCATGCACACCAGGTACTCAAGTTGAATATAATATTGATGCAAAGATTACTTTGATATTTTGGTTTTATTTTAGAACACTTGCAGCTTTGACTCCAAATTGAAATAGTTTAAGTTAGCTAAGTAAAAAAGAATTTCCAATTGGATCTGGCATATAGGAAATTAGATTTTTACTGGATTTTTTATTTAAAGTATTTCACATTTACTTCGGATTTAACTATTGCTACCCAAAAGCCATTGTTCCTCCTTCCCTAGTAACAGAACCCTGATTTGAGAATGACAAAGTACCCAGCTCTAGGCAATGACTGATGCTTATCCTAAGTTGGTTATGAATCCTGTTCCTCTGTGATAAATGCTTGCTTCCCAGATTCCCTTGAAGTCAGACTCCCTTGAAGCTAGGAGTGCTCATGTGACCCAGTTCTGGCCAGTAAGACAAAATGGAAAGTCTACTGGGGGGTTGGGGGGGGTGGTTCTGAGGTATGACTTCTGCTTTTATCTACTTGGAAAACGCCAAAAGAATTATAGGGATGCCAACATCTCCCTCTAGTATTCTTACTAAGTGAGATGATAAAAATTTGTATTGTATAAGCCAGAGGCTGGCAAACAAATCTCGCCCCATCCACTTGTGTTTATAAATAAAGTTTTATTGGAAACAACTACACCCATTTGTTTACATATTATCTGTGGCTTCCTTTGTGCTACAGCAAGAGTTAAGTAGTTGCAACAGAGACCACATGAGCCTGAAAACCTAAAATGTTTACCATTGTTGATTCCTCGAGAAGTTAACTAATCCATGGTCTAAGTCACCGATAGTTGAGTCTTCTGTTACTTGGTAAATAAATTTATTTCTAATTTATAGTAAAGCTTTGGTGACGAGTAAAATAAAACAAGTCTTAGAGCTGGCTGACTGGAAAATACCCCGATGCTGGGAAAGACTGAAGACAAAAGGAGAAGAGGGCAGTGGAGGATGAGTTGGTTAGATGGCGTCACCGACTCAATGGACACGAGTCTGAGCAAACTCTGGGAGACAGTGAAGGACAGGGAAGACTGGCGTGCTGCAGTCTGCGGGGCCGCAAAGAGTAGGACCTGACTTAGCAACTGAACAACCACAAAATAAAACAAAACCAAAACAAATAAATGGTATTACAGGCCTAAAAGCGCATGTGTGGCATACTCTACTATTCTGCTCCACTTGGATTAGGGCAAGGTGCTTTGTCCACCCCAGCATGCAAGAGAGCATTTAGCACTGAAGGTCTTCCTGCTCTGCCGTGAGAACATACCTGTTTGGTGTAAATAACAAACCACCGCCAGTGACTATCCTCGCAGTACTGAAATCTGAGCTCTAAGTTCTGGCTGAGAGTTTGCTGTGGCCCATCCGTATCCAGCAGAGTCCCCTACAAAGGAAAAGATATTACTTGACATTCAGCAGACATTTAAATGGCTCTTATGTGCTGCACAAAATGTCAAAACAAGTGAGAATGTCCCTATTCCCAAGACGCTATCAGTCTTTTGGGGAGCCATGAAAGTACAATAAATCATCATAGATCGATATAAGTATTATAAGGGAAGCAAACAGGTCTATGGAAGTGAACAGGATGAACATTTAATCCAGACTAGGAGTTAAAGGAAGTTCTGGCGGGGCGAGAGTGGAGGGAGGGTGTTATCTGAGCAGAAGAAGAAATTATCCAAGTTTGTTGTGTGTTTTTTTGAGGGGAGGGGGTATGGCGGTAACCAGTGGTTTCTGGAAGAAGACAAAATAACTGCAGATTCATGAGGAAGCCTGGCGCACTGGAGTGTGGCTGAACCATTCGCTGTGATGGATGGGGGCTGAGAGAGGAAGGGCAGGGCCAGAGCCCGGAAGCCTCGTAGGAAGCACCTGTGATTTTGCTTTACAGCATCGATCGTTTTTCTTCTGGTACTAGAGTTTCAAATTCCCTTGGGAAAAACCTTTCACTGTTACTCTCAAGCTAGGACAGTCAGGAAATGCTGCCCTCTTGGAGGGTGGCAGGTGACCCAAGCTCAAGCCAACTGGATAAATACTCTGGGTCTCTCATTTGATTCCAGGGCAGAAGGATCCAAAGAGCAGGTCCTGATAAAGAATCCCTGATTTCTAGAAATCTTGAGTTCTTCTGGTTCCTGGTTATCCTGAGCCTCTATTTCAGTCTTTTTTTTTTTTTCACCCTTTCCTTTAAATCAGTGTATTATCTCATATCCCTCTAATAAATCCTTCCCCTCCCCCCCCGCCCCCACTAGAGCCAGAAGTATTGGTTTCTACTATTTGCTACCAAAAGAGCCCTGGCTGTTACAGGTTTTACAAGCTAAGTGAAGGAGTCTGAACTTTATCTTAAGGGCAACAGGCCATTTGTCAAAAGATTTTAAAAGCTGAATAACAACACAAATTTGTATTTTAGAACTATGAGTCTGGTAGCATCAATGTAAAAAAATGAACTGAGAAACAGCTGTTTTCAGACATAGAACAGCAGAGAATGAAGAACTGTCAACCCTGAGAAGCAGAAAACAAGAAAGGTGAGCCCTGTAGTCACCCAGTTTACTGCCTGGAGGAGTTTCCAAGATTCAATACAGGGAGGGAAACCCAGAGTCCAGAGGTCTTGCTAAGTTGGTGAGAAAGAGACAAAACTCTGTGAAGTGGTGGTTAGAATTTATGGGATAGAAGACTAAAGAAAAAGGTTTTACACAGAGCAAGAGCTCCAGAGAGCACCTTTCAAATCTTTTGGCTAAATAATGATTTGTGCATGTGTAGGAGATGCACAAATTTGCATCTGTGAAGTCTGCAGAAAGAACCACTGAAAAGCAGCAGGTTGAACAATTCCAAAGCTCTTAAACCAGCCTGGAAATAGTTTCTATCAACCAGAGTAGAGATAACATAATAAACAAGACTCAGAGTTCTAACTATGGCAGCTAAATTAGTCCTCCAGACTGCTCTTGACTTGCCTTAAGAAAGCTTAAAAGCAAAGTCTCAAAAAAATAAAACTAATTCCAAGTAATTAAATTGTGTGACAGAACAAAATCCAATTTTCTTTAAAGGAATACAATAAAATCCAGCATTCAACAATGTAAAATTCACAGTGTTTGGCATACCATAATAAATTACCTGGTGTGCAAAGTATGAGATAAGTGTACTCTGCAAACAGGAGAAAAATCAATCAATAGAAATGTCAGAGCTGATGGAATTAGTAGACCACAATATAAAAACAGTTATTTTAAATATGCTCCATAAAATCAAAAATTTAGAAAAAATAGCATGATAAGGAGAGAAATGGGAGATATACCTTAATGGACTCTCTAGAGATGACAAATAATGTATAATAGTAGAAATAAAAATATAATGGATGGAAAGACACACATTAGTTGCTACAGAGGATTGATGACCTTGAAATCATGACAACAGAAACTACCCAAAATTAAGCACAGAGAGAAAAAAAGACTGAAACAAAACCACAGCGAGATACCACTTTACATCCATTAGAATGGCCGTATTTAAAAAAGAAAAAAAATCAGATAATAACAAGTACTGGCAAGGATATGGGGAAATTGGAATCCTCTTATGCTGCTGGTGGGGATGTAAAATGGAGAAGATACTGTGAATGACAGTCTGGACTTTCCTCAAAAAGTTAACCATAAAAGTTAATCACTATGGTAGAATTACCAGCAATTCCACTCTTCGGTATATACCCAAGAGAAATGAAAACCTATGTCCACATTAAAAAAAAAAAACCATATGCACAAATGTTCATAGTAGCATAATTCATAGCAGTCAAAAGGTAGAAACAACCATTGATGGATAAGTAGATATATCCATACAATGGAATATTATTTGACCATAAAAAGGAATAAAGTACAGATATATGCTAAAACAAGGATGAACCCTGGAAACATTATGTTAAGTAAAACCATCAGTATGTCTTTTTTTAATTGTTCAACCTGCTTTTGGACTTGTTCAACTGGCTGCTTTTCAGTGGTTTTTTTACCCAGACTTCCCAGATGCAAATTTGTGCATCACCCACACATGCACAAATCATTATTTAGCCAAAGGATTTGAAAGGTGCTCTCTGGAGCTATTGCTCTATGTAAAACCCTTGTCTTTACTCTTTTATCCCATAAATTCTATCCATCACTTCACAAATTTTTATCTCTTTCTCCTCAACTTCTCAAGACCTCTGGTCTCTGGGTTTCCCTCCCCCCAAAACAGTCACAAGCACCATGCATGATTCCATTAATATGCTATTCAGAACAGGCAAATCTATAGAGGGAGAAAGTAAATTAGTGGTTTCCGAGGCCTGGTGGCAAAGAAGTAACAAATAAAGGGTATGGAGCTTCTTTTTGAGGTATTCTAAGATTGATTGTGGTGATGGTTACACAACTCTGAATATACTGAATACTACTGAGTTGTACACTTTATATTGGTGGAATGTGAATAATATCTTGATAAAGCTGTTACAGAAGAAGAGAATGATGATGTGGTATTGGTAGACGGATCTAGGCCTCCCTCTGTGTGTCTACACAAAGATCAATGGAACAGAACTAGACCCACACAAATGTGCCCAACTGATTTTTTACAAAGATACGACAGCAATTCAATTGAAGAAAGATAGCCTTTGCAACTAATGGTCCTGGAGCAATTGGACTTCCATAGGCAAAAAAGGGAACTTTGCTCTAAATTTCACACCTTACGTGAAAATTTACTCAAAACAGCTCATGGATTTAAATGTATAACCTATACCTATAAAACCTTTAGGAAAAAACAAAACAAAACACCTTGGGAAAAATTCTTCAGGATTTAGGGTTTGGCAAAGAATTTAGACTTGACACCAAAAACACAATAAAGAAAAACAGCTTCATCGAAATTAAAAGTCTTTTGCTCTGCAAAAGACCCTGTGAAGAGAATGAAAAACTACAAAGTGAGGGAAAATACTAGCAAGCCACATATCCAAAAAAGGACTAATATCTAGAATGTAAGTGCTCTCAAAACTCAATAGTAAACAAAAAATCCAATTGGAAAATGGGAGAAATTATGAAGACATATCACCTAAGAAGATACCCAGATGGTAAATAAGCACATGAAAAGATGTTCAATATCATTAGCCATGAGGGAAAGGCAAATCAAAATCACAATTGAATACCAATACACACTTATCAGGATGACTAAATAAAAAATAATGACAGTACCAAATGCTGCTGAGAAAGTGGAGAGACTGGCTTGCTCACACATCACTGGTGGGAACGTATAATAAATTGGCACAGCTCCCTTGAAAACAATTTGGCAGTTTCTTAAAAAATTAAACTTCCAGCAATTGCACTCCTAGGCATTTATTCCAGAGAAATGAAAACTTGTGCTCAGACAAAAACCTATAAATGAATATTTATAGACACTTTATTCATAATAGCTAATAACTGGAAACAACCAGATATTTTTCTTTGGGTGAATGTTTAAAAAACGTGGCTATTCTATATCATGGAATACTGTTCAGCTGCAAAAAGCAACAAACTATTGCTCTATACACACCAAGCTGAATGAATTTCCAAAGAATTATGCTGAGTAAAAAAAATCCCAGACTACATACTGTGTGATTATATTCGTGTAACTTTCTTTTATTTTTTAAGGTAACAAATTCCTTGTTTTTATTTATGTTTACCTCCTAAACACAGTCAATTCTTGTTGTTTACACTAGCTATGACCTATAGTTACCATAAACACTGCATTGTTGAGTTCTGACACAGAGTCCAAGGGGAAATAGAGGTTTAGGCTCTTGTGAACCGCTGGTCACAATATCTTCATCAACTGACCGATGCATAACCTTGTTTTATGTGTGTGTGTTTGTTTTTTCTAACTGAGGTTATAATTGGTGTGCAAAAAAACTGCACATATTTAATGTACACAATTGAAGAGTTTGGACATATGCATATCCATGAAATGATCACCACAATCAAGTCATAAATATATCCATTACTTCCAAAAGTTTTATATAATATTCTTGAAATGATACAATATGAAAATGGCAAACAGATTAGTGTTGCCAAGGGTTCAGGAAGGATGAGAGTGGGAGTAAGTGGATGCAGCTATAAGAAGCCAACATGAAGGATCCTTGCGATGATGGAAACGTCTTGATTCTTCATTGTAATCAATGTTAATAGCCTAAGTGGTGATACTGTCCTCTGGTTTTGAAAGATGTAATAATTGAAGAAAAGTGTGTAAAGTATATGCAAAATCTCTGTACCATTTCTTTCAACTACATATGAATCTATAATTATATCAAAATTATTAAAAAGTAATTAACTGTTGAAAGCAAAAATAATTATAACACAGTATGAGGTTTATAATATACGCAGAAATAATGTATGGCAACAAATACCACAAAGGACAGAAGGGGCAGAGGTACACTGTTGTAAGGTTTTTAAACTTCTTGTGAAATGATGTAATATTCAAAAGTAGACTGTAATAAGTTAAAAAGATGTATATTAAATACTCTTAAGTAACCATAAATTTAAAAGGTGTGGCTAAAAAAACAATGGAACAAATGAATGTCTAAATAATAAAATAATCTATAGAAGACAAGAAGGAAAAAACTAACAAAATTTAAAGAAATGGACAAATCTACAATTATATTTGAAGATTTTAACACTCCTTACAATAGCTGATAGAACAAGTAGAGAGAAATGTGTAAGGATAGAGGAGACTTGAACGTCATTAACCACTTGACTTATCGATATTTCTAGAGTTAGAGTTAGGGCAACATATGCATTCTTAAGAGTGGCAGCATCTACAGTCTTCTCAAGTGCACGCTGAACATTTCAAGATATACCAAACATTGGCCACAAAACAAGTTCCCATAAAGGGACTGAAATCATATGATTTTTTCTTCTGACCCCAAGAGGGAAAGAGTGGGGCAGTGAGAAGGGTTAGGAGGCCATGGGATTTCATCCAGGCAGCAAATGTTGAGATCAAGACGTGAGGGCAGAGAGAAAAGGAGAATCTTGAAGGTCAGCACTGCCATAGGATGATGTGAAGAGCCGACTCACTGGAGAAGACCCTGATGCTGGGAAAGACAGAAGGCAAAAGGAGAAGGGGCCGGCAGAGGATGAGATGGTTAGATAGCATCATCGACTCAGTGGACATGAATGTGAGCAAACTCCAGGAGACAGTGAAGGACAGGGAAGCCTGGCATGCTGCAGTCCATGGGGTTGCAAAGAGTCGGACATGACTTAGCAGCTGAACAACACCACCACCATCAGTGTCATAGAACAGATAGGTCTACATCAGCAATTAAAAATGTAAGATAAGAGAAAAGTTAGGGATAATTTCAAGATTGCTGGTTTGGCAACCAGGGGTGGTGGTGGAAGTCCCATTTATCAAGATAGGGAACATAGGAGGAAGAACCCTAGGTTGGGCATATCGGAAAGGATAAGTCCAGTTTGGAAAAAGGCTGAGTTTGAGGTGTCTGTGAATCACTTGGTGAAGATGTCAAGAATGCGGTAGGAAATACTGGACCTGTTGACAGTCATCTGGGAAACTGACTTCAGGAGATAAGTAGAGGAGAGAGTCTAGAAATGGAACCCCAGGAAACACCAGCATTTCAGGAGTGGTCAGAGGGAGAGGCAGCCCACAAAAATTAAAGGAGGAAGCAGGGGGAGCTGTGAAAAGGAAGACATGGTTGACATATCAAATGCTGCAGACAGGCCTAGTACTGAGCCAGCTAAAAAAATCCCCATGGGCTTCATGGATTTAGTAGCTGGCTGTCACAGTTGCTTTAGTAGCGTTTGTCCTCTATCAATAATCTCTATTTCCTGTGTAAATGGGATAATACCTCTTAGCTCACTGGGTTATATTTAAGAACTTAATTAAGAAATGCTAATTACTTCTTATAAATATTGACCTTTGTTTTCCTCTTAATGAAAAAAAAAAGAACTTAATTAAATAGCGTATGTGTCATGGCCTAGCATAGCACCTGGTACAAAGTGAGCACTCAGTAAGTCTAGTCAGAAAGCTCTCTCTTGGAAGGACATGGCAATGCAGGTGTGACGCCAGAGATCCTTACGAATAGCTCTGCTGGACTATTTACAAAAGCTAGGACATGGAAGCAACCTAGATGTCCATTGGCAGATGAATAGATAGGAAAGTTGTGTTACATATACACAATGAAATATTACTCAGCTATAAAAAAAAAAAAGAACACATTTGAGTCAGTTCTAATGAGGTGGATGAAACCAGAGCTTATTATACACAGTGAAGCAAGTCAGCAAGAGAAAGACAAATACTGTATATTAATGCATATATCTGGAATTTAGAAAGATGGTAACAATGATCCTATAAACAGGGGAGCAAAAGAGACACAGGTGTGAAGGACAGAACTTTGGACTCGGTGGGAGAAGGCAAGGGTGGGATGATCTGAAAGAGGAGCATTGAAACATGTATATTACCATATGTAAATTACACCACCAGTGCAAGCTTGAAGCATGAAGCAGGGCACCCAAAGCTAGTGCTCTGGGACAACCTAGAGGGATAGGATGGGGAGGGAGGTGGGAGGGGGGGTCAGGGTCGGGGGACACATGTATACCTGTGGCTGATTCGTGTTGATGTATGGCAAGAGCCATCACAATATTGTAAAGTAATTATCCTCCAATTAAAATAAATTAATTTTTTAAAAATTAAAAAAAGAATAGCTCTGCTGGGCAGCATCCAGTTTCCAAGCATAGAGATCTTGGTACTGAGCACATATTAAGTGTTCAGTAAATGGTAGCTGTTATTTCTACATATTTTGTTATTACTTTAGATATCCTTCAAGCAGTAGAGAAGTCTGCTATTGGAAGGTGAGAAGATGAGTGTCTCTACAGCAAGAGTGAGGAACTTGTAGCGGATAATAGGTAGGTTTTACTACTAGGTGATGTTTCGTGCATGCTCAGTCCTGTCCAACCCTTTGCGACCCCATGGACTGTAGCCCACCAGGCTTCTCTGTCCATGGGATTTTATGATGCTTACTGTGGCTTAGATGCCAGTCCATTCAAGGTACTGATTCAAATGGCAAACTTGTCTCCCCCATACCAACACTGTCATCCAAGAACACTAGGATTTTTAAAATCATGGATGAAGGCTTTAAATGATGGGAAAGGCAAGATGCCAAGATACTTACAAGGAAAGTGACCTGCCAGCACTTCACTCTGTCCATCTGGAAAATGACGTCCAGGGTCTGGTTATCAGGAAGGGTTATGCAGCAGCTGATCTCATTATTGCCAACGGAAAGAAGGGCCTGGCAGCCCGGTTCTGGGTGGTCACAGGTGCAGGGTTCCAGCTGTACATATCCATAGTGCTGGACCTCCCGGGCAAGCTCCAAAAACTGCTCCAAAATGGGGTGGGGATGGAGGAAGCAAAAGACTGCTTGAAGCAGATGAAAAATCTCAAGTCAGAAGCTACTGCCATTCTAACACAACACCAGGAATGGAGTCACAGTGAAAGCACCTTTTTCTTCCAGGTGACACAGATGAAGACAATGCCCCACGTGCTGACAGAGATGCCCAAGTTCCCGGTGTGTGCTTCCTCATTGACCATCATGTCCCTGCCCTTTGTACAGTGCTCAGACTTAGTGGAAATAAAATATTCAATGTGTGAACGATGAAGGAAGAAAAGAGTAGGATGTGATCGAATGAGTAGTTATGATTCTATCTCAGCAGATTAGAGCAGCAGAATAAATAAAAAGTGAATATTTAAGATGCTGTGTTTAAAAAAAAAAACAACTAAGCTGAGATCAAATTTTTACAGGCTGCTTTATATGCTGGTGGCATTCACTGTCAGAGACAGTGGTGGAAACGGCAATGAAGTGAGGGCGAGAGTGAATCTGATCTCTAAGTCGAGTTTCACGGCCCCAAAGTGCCAGCGGAATGTTGAATGTTGGTGATGTTTAAGGTTTAGCTTTTCCCTCTGCTTCTGTTGTTACCGAAGAACAGAGGACAGCTGCAGGTCACACCTGTGGTCCTGGCATCCTGTCCTGCTAACGTCTATTGAGGACCTTTCAACAAAGTGATCACTGGCGACTGCCTTCAGCTAAACTGCCATCAGTTTAGTGACCTCCACTTTGTTCTTCCAGCCTTCACCATGGTCCTACCTGATGGGGTGGAAGATGTGTGTTCAGAGAAGGTAGTTCTCACCTTACCACGTGGATAAATCAGAAAGAAGACCAATCAGCAACAACCTGGCCCTTTCCCAATCCTGTCCTGAAGCAAGGTAACTTACACCTCCCTTTTTTTTTTTTTTCATTTATTTTCATTAGTTGGATGCTAATCACCTTACAACATTGCAGTGGTTTTTGTCATACGTTGAAATGAATTAGCCATGGATTTACATGTATTCCCCATCCCGGTCCCCCTTCCCACCTACACCTCCCTTTTGAGGGCTACGTGAGTGCTCTCTGATAAAGGGAAACAGGCTGAGACATGTGCCATGAGGGACGGGTGACTCTTGGTGCCAAGTGGTGGAAGTATTCCAGGCTCCTGTCCCTCCCGGCCACGTGTCTGACCAGCTCATTGCACTGAGGCCCATGCACTCAACGTAGGAGATGCGTTCAGCTGCCAGACCTCCCTTTGGGTCAGTGGGAGACATCAGAAATGACAGGTGGAGAGTAGATGTTACCTGTGTGGTAGGGACAGGGCCTGAGTGATCCCACCACAGAGCATTTAGAGTAGTTTCATGGTTCTTGCTACAAAACTTTTTTATTATATGGCATAAATCCTTAATTGTTTATTTTACTCCTTGGTAACACAAAAAATTTGTAATAAACTGTAATACAGTCTTGGTTGCAGTGCTCTAAAAGAGGTGAAAGTGTTTGTTTAACTAAAAGTTAAGCTCCATTTCTCTAAGAAGTTGGTTATGAATAAGCAACTTGTTCAAAATGCTAGCTGGCACCTGCCATTCAAAGTGAGGAGGTGGGGAGCACTGATATCACTGCCTGTGTGAAAAGCAGAGGACAGAAAGCTAAAAGGATTATCTACTTGAAAATGAGTTTTGTTTTGTTATTGGACACACCACACAGCTTGCAGGATCTAAGTTCCCCAACTAGGGGTTGAACCCAAGCCATGACAGTGAAAGCACCAAGTCCTAACCACTGGACCACCATGGAATTTCTGAAAATTTGTTCTTTTAAGAAGTACCTGAAAAAAATAATTTAACATGTAGAACTGCAAAAGGTAGATTAGCATTTGGCAAACTTACCTGCAGAGCCATGTAGTAAATATCTTCAATTCTGTGGGCATATGAGCACTGTTGCCACTACCCACCTCTACTGCTCTAGCGCAAAATCACCATTTGATAACACATACGTGAGTGAGTGTGGCTATGTGCCAATAAAGCTTTATTTACACAAACAGTGGCCCAGGGACCATAGTTCAGTCTCTCTCTGATTTAGATCAAATGACTGCTCCTTTAAGTTAATTTCACTCATTTTCAATTCCAAGTTTTCTTGTACATGTACATAAAGTAAAGCAATAGCTGTTAATGTGCTGACTCCATTAGCAGAAGAACTTTTACAAACACTTAAATAACATTGGTTTTAATAACAGTATTCTTAGATGCTTCAAGAGAAAAATCATTTGTTAACTTGAATAATGGTTCAGTTTTTTCCAAGTGGAAAAAAAACCCCACGCCTACTCTATCCTGAAGCAGTACATGTGAGTCTGACAAAATAAGAACACATACTCGATCCTGAAGCAGTACATGTGAGTCTGACAAAATAAGACATATTTTAACAAGAGAAATGGCCTCTCCTTCATTGTGTTATCTTTTTTATTCTTTATATTTAGCCAACTACTAAAGTATTGACTTCAAACAAAATGCAAAGAAAATTTAGAGGACTAAATTCATGCACTCAAAATGAGAGTTTTTAAAGATCACTATTAAAATAGTATGGTAAAATGATGTTAAACATTCAACCATAGAAAATAAACTTTGTTTTATGGCAAAAACAGAAATTTTGTTAAAGCATAGCAGCATGGTTAAAAACAACAGTCTTACTAAGAAGTTTATAGACCAGAAATGTCCTTAGAATTGGTAACTGTGTCCAAAGCAATAGCAACATAATATTCATCAAAAGAAAAGCTGTAAGTATAAAAATTTGCATACACGCAGAGAAATTGAACTCCAAAATTTCTGAGATAAAGCTGTAATGGAATACCAATGGGAAAGTGGGAAAGGTAGTCGCTCAGTCGTGTCAGACTCTTTGCGACCCTATGGACTGTAGCCCTCCAGGCTTCTCTGTCCATGGGAATCTCCAAACAAGAATACTGGGGTGGGTTTCCATTCCTTTCTCGAGGGGATCTTCCCAACCCAGGGAAGATTCTTTACCATCTGAGCCACCTGGGAAGATTTCTCAGTATGCTGCTGCTGCTAAGTCACTTCAGTCGTGTCTGACTCTGTGCGACCCCATGGACGGCAGCCCACCAGGCTCCTTTGTCCGTGGGATTCTCCAGGCAAGAATACTGGAGTGGGTTGCCATTTCCTTCTCCAAATTCTCAGTATACCAAGGGGGAAAATACTAAATCATGGCATATATGCTTTTTCCCTTTTTTTTTTGCAACTCATCAATAAAATTCTCAAAATACGGTGACTTTGAAGGATGGCTTTCTATATCAACCTAAGTATAAATGAGTCATCTAAATTTTATTTGCATTTTCTTCAAAATCAGTGCTTTGGTGGTGAGCACTGGTAAAGTATAAAGGATTTTACAAAAAGATAATACAATGAAGCAAAGACCATTTCTTCTGTTAAAATATGACTTTTCAGACTCATATACTTCTTGGGGGTATGTCCATTGGTACTGTACCATCTTTATGGAAGTTTTAAAAATGAATATTAAGAAATAATGTAAAGAATAATAGAACATGTATTCAAGACAGACGATGTTGGCTGCTGTGTTCAGAGACCTTCAGCCAGGAACCATACCAGGTGTTGGGAACAGAGTATGTATTATATAAATTACATAAACTCAGTCCTGGGCCTCAGGATGCTCACTGCCACAATGATTTTTAGAAGCAAATCCTGGAAACAACCTGACTTCCAATAATAGGAAATTGGTTAGCTAAATGATAACATAATCATAAAATGGAATACTCTGCTTCATTAAAAATAATGTTAAGGGTCTATATTAATTAACTTGGCAAAGGACGCACACTATATTGTATTTTTTAGAATCTTTAAACAATAAGACTTTATTAATTTTATAAAAAGAAAAATCAATGAAGGTATTCTCATTTTTAAAAAGAGCCCCATTTTTAGTGTTTGATGGGTTTATAAATTACAGAAACAGCTCAATTCCAATATGTTTCTCTAACTCCCTTCCAAGAGATTTCTCTTGGTGCAATATTTCATTCACCTCTGTTTGGTTGTCTTCTTTCTGGAGAGCCTCTAATTTCTGCCTCTGCACCTCCGTGGGCTTGGCCCATTCTTTTTCAATGTCCTGGATTGCCTTAAAACAATACAAGTTGTAAAATTAGCAAACTTAACAGAAATGAGTTAGCCTAACAAAAATATACTCGTGTATGAAAGGCTATAAAAACAGAACCGAGTGGGCATATATAGGATTTAGCAGGTTATAAAGGTTGCATTTAAAATTAACTGGGTGTTGGTACAATGGTTTGGGTACAACTGGTGGCACTTGGAAAAGAAAAGAAAATTCTCTCTTTCCCCACACTACCCAATCAAATAAACACAGATAGGTTAAAGATTTGAAAGTAAAAACCATAAAAGAATCAGAAGAAAGTAAAAGTGAGTGTTCTTATCTGATCAATAGGAAATACCTTTATAAGATACAAAGACAAATAACATACAAATGAATATGTAATTACATAAAAATATTAAAGCTACCAAGAATAAAACTAAGAAGAAAATGGCAAACCAAGGCAAAATTGCATCATATGTGGCAAAGAGTTAATCTTATTTATGTAAAGCAATAGTAAAAATATAAATACCTCTAATAGGAAAATGAAGAAATGCTATACATCAGCAATTAACAAAAAGGAATTCCAAATGACAAATACAGGTTGAACCTCACTAGTAATCAAAGAATCTGTTTTCCTCTCAACTTGGCGAAGACCCATCAGTTCAGTTCAGTCGCTCAGTTGTGTCCAACTCTTTGTGACCCCATGGACTGCAGCACACTAGGCTTCCCTGTCCATCACCAACTCCTGGAGCTTGCTCAAACTCATGTCCTTTGAATCGGTGATACCATCCAACCATCTCATCCTCTGTCATCCCCTTCTTCTCCCACCTTCAATCTTTCCCAGCATCAGGGTCTTTTCAAAAGAGTCAGTTCTTCACATCAGGTGGCCAAAGTATTAGAATTTCAGCTCCAGCATCAGTTCTTCCAGTGAATATTCAGGACTGATTTCCTTTAGGATGGACTGGTTGGATCTCCTTGAAGTCCAACGGACTCTCAAGAGTCTTTTCCAACACCACAGTTCAAAAGTATCAATTCTTTGGCACTCAACTTTCTTTGTGGAGAAGGAAATGGCAACCCACTCCAGTGTTCTTGCCTGGAGAATCCCAGGGATGGGGGAGCTTGGTGGGCTGCTGTCTATGGGGTTGCACAGAGTCGGACACGACTGAAGCGACTTAGCAGCAGCAGCAGCAACTTTCTTTATAGTCCAAATCTCACATCCATACATGACAACTGGAAAAACCATAGCTTTGACTAGATGGACCTTTGTTGGCAAAGTAATGTTTCTGCTTTTTAATATGCTATCTAGGTTGGTCATAACTTTTCTTCCAAAGAGTAAGCATCTTTTGATTTCATGGCTGCAGTCACCATCTACAGTGATTTTGGAGCCCAAGAAAATAAAGTCTCTCACTGTTTCCATTGTTTCCCCATCTATTTGCCATGAAGTGATGGGCCCAGATGCCATGATCTTAGTTTTCTGAATGTTGAGTTTTAGGCCAACTTTTTCACTCTCCTCTTTCACTTTCATCAAGAGGCTCTTTAGTTCTTCACTTTCTGCCATAAAGGTGGTGTCATCTGCATATCTGAGGTTATTGATATTTCTCCCGGCAATCTTGATTCCAGCTTGTGCTTCATCCAGTCCAGCATTTCGCATGATGTACTCTGCATGTAGTTAAATAAGCAGGGTGACAATATACAGCCTTGAGGTACTCCTTTCTCTATTTGGAACCAGTCTGTTGTTCCATGTCATGTTCTAACTGTTGCTTCCTGACCTGCATACAGGTTTCTCAGGAGGCAGGTCAGGTGGTCTGCTATTCCCATCTCTTTAAGAATTTTCCACAGTTTGTTGTGATCCACTCAGTCAAAGGCTTTGGTATAATCAATAAAGCAGAATTAGATGTTTTTCTGGAACTCTCTTGCTTTTTCTATGATCCAACGGATGTTGGCAATTTGATCTCTGGTTCCTCTGCCTCTTCTAAATACAGCTTGAACATCTGGAAGTTCATGGTTCACATACTGTTGATGCCTGGCTTGGAGAATTTTGAGCATTACTTTGCTAGTGTGTGAAATGAGTGCAATTGTGCGATAGAGCATTCTTTGGCTCAAAGAATGGTGTGATCAGATAACCACGATGGTGTGATCTCTCACCTAGAACCAGACATCCTGGAATGTGGAGTCAAGTGGCTCTTAGGAAGCATCACTACAACAAAGCTAGTGGAGGTGATGGAATTCCAGTTGATCTATTTCAAATCCTAAAAGATGATGCTGTGAAAGTGTTGCACTCAATATGCCAACAAATTTGGAAAACCCAGCAATGGCTACAGGACTGGAAAATGTCAGTTTTCATTCCAATCCCAAAGAAAGGGAATTCCAAAGAATGGCAATGTGAAGACAAATATATATATAATATTCAGAGTTGGCAAGGGTTTGAAGAAATAGGAAGTTCATATAGATCTGACACAATTTAAACAGGTACAACTTTATGGAAATAGTTTGGCATTTAAATCTAAAACCCTCTACAGGAATGATAAACATAGATGTAAGAAAAAGGTATTAATAAGGCTATTACTCCTACCATTTTTAATATTGAAAATTTTTCAACTATAAATTGTGGCAAACATATGTATAATGCTTACTGTGTGTCATGCAATGTTCTAATTGCTCTAAAACAAAATCAACCCCAGCCCCTCCCCTCTCTGGTAATTACTAATTTGTTCTCGGTATCTACTTAGTTGCTTTTGTTTGCTTTGGTTTGTTCATTAATTTTATTATACTATTTATTTATTATTTAATTTATATTTTGATGAAATCATACATCATTTATCTTTCTACATCTAACTTATTTTAGCAAAATACACTCAAGGTCCATATGTGTTGTCACAAATGGCACAATTTCATCTTTTTTATGACTGAGTAGTATTCCACCCAAGGAATGCTTGAAGCCACCAGTAGATGAAAGAGACAAGGAATAGAAAATGCCCTATCACCTTCAGAGGGACCATGGCCCTGCCAATACCTTGATTTCAGACTTCTGACTTATGGAACTGTGAGAAAATAAATTTTTATTATTTTAGAGCTCCTCCTCCCATAAAGAAAAAGTCAATCCTCACAGCACCTTATGAAGTAGGTACTATTTATAAATGCCCCAAAATAGGTGATAGAGTTTAGGCACAACCAAGTAATAGGTTATGCTACTATTTAAAATTATGTAAAATATTTAACAACATGGGAAAAGTCTATGAGACATTGGTACATGAAAACATGTCAAGTTACAAAATAAGGGCATAGTAATCAGGTCCTGAGTTTTATAAAATAAAACAATAAATATAAACCAAGCCCCAACGACCTTGTATGTTACACTTAGGAGTCAAGAAAAATGGATGTGCACATGAGTAAAATGAATTAATAGTAAATAAAATAAAAACACTGAAAAAGTTAAGAGTTTAAATGTATGGTTGATATAAGATTTGGGATGATGTTTACTTTTGTTTTTGAGTCCTTCCATATCTGCACATTTTTATAAGATGAAAACAAATTTTATAACTGAAAAACAATGAGAAGTGAATACATTATTAGGCCCTGTTGGCTGGGCTTTGGGCAACGGCCACCAGCAAATGTTCCCAAATTCTGACTCCCTGATGCGCTGCTCAGTCTTCTGTCCTAGTCTGCACCATGGGTTCAAGCCGAACAACACTGGTCTCAAAGCCAGAAATCACTGAAGACAGATGCCCCCTGGATTTCCTGAACCCTCAGCAACTTTTCCTGTGCTCTTCCCCTCTTCTCCTGGCACGCAGCCTCCCATCCTCTTTATGCTTCCTGGTCCCAGGACAGGCTCTGAGATCAGCTTTCCATCTCATTAGCTGCATACATTTACCCTGCGCTATGCCGACAGCATGTGCTGCGCTAAGTCGCTTTAGTCATATCCAACTCTTTGCGACCCTGCGGTCTATAGCCCCCCAGTCTCCTCTGTCTATGGGCTTCTCCAGGCAAGAATACTGGAATGGGTTGCCATGCCTCCTCCAGGGGATCTTCCTGAGCCAGGGATCAAATCTGCATCTCTTCTGTCTCCTGCATTAGCAGGTGGGTTCTTTATCACTAGCTGACATCATGCTTTATTTAATGGAGTTTTCCACTGGTCCTCAAACTGCTAACCCTTCTAGAGAAGAACCAGAGTCCTTTACCCGAGTGTATCTTGTTCAACTTCTTACATATATCAAACCCACAAACAATTCTTTGCTATCTGGTACTTTATACCTTAGTATATGATAGTCTGAATATAGTATATGAATATACTGAATATAGTATATGAATATACTGAATATAGTATATGAATATAATATAGTATATGATAGTATATACCTTAGTCTGAATGTAAGTCTATGTGTTATGTCCCTCATATCACCGAGGGACAGGGTATGCCTCAGCTCCAAGAAGAGAAAGAAAAGCTGAATACACTTTGACATTACTATTGAAGTTGGGGAAAAGGAGATGGATTTAAAGAGGAGAAGAAAAATAACTACTATTTGTTGAGAACCTTTTTTAGATAAGTTTTCTCATTGACTTTTTTCAAATGGTTCTGTGGGTTAGGAACATTTAAGCCCATTTTAGAGATGAGTAAAATCAAGGTCCAGAGATGTTATAACTTTCAAGACAATCCAGTAAGTAAGCGGCAATGGTTGGATTAAAACCCGGATCTGACTACTCTACCAAGCCCTCCTCCTACTGCCCGAGACATTGAATTTTGACCACATAGGCAGCTACACACCCCCAGATTTTCTCCTTATTGTCAACTGTTCTCAAAACTGAACTTAGATACCGTACCTAAACTAAGAATGCAATTAGCATGGGTGTGAAGAATGGAACACCTTTTCTTTCATGAATTCACTTGATCTTAGAGCCCTGTAAGGACTGTTAGAACCTGGCAACGATGTCAGAGAGAAACCTGACTAAATACACAAGGTAAACAGCATTCATGGTGGTAAGTAGGTAAGTACTAACTAAAGATACATCATTCATCATTAGAGGATCTG